AGCGCGGGTCGGATCAATCCGACCCGCGCGAGCGCGGGTCGGATTGTCCTGTTGCGCAGTCTAAAGTTCCAAAACACGTTTTGACAGTTTTAAATTGGTTTTTTGCAGGGTTTATCGGTTTTAGGGGTTCTTAACTGACTTGAGATCATCCCTAAACGTTGTTAGGCTGCTGTTGACTGAAGATAGAGCCAAATCCCTTGTTCTTATCCAAATAACCGCATTTTGAGGCCTATAAATATGAACCAAAGGCCTCCATTTTCTGGGGCGATTGATTATCAAGACGAGGAGGTGCTGCCGGATTGTGGAGTCAAAGGAGCACGAATTTCAGCGAGGGTTGATAGATCTTGGCGAGTTCTTCGGCATAAAGAAGGAGAGTTCGAGAGATCCGACACCCATTCCCGTCCGTCCCTTGAGATTAGGCTTGGTCTTAATCTCGAGAAGAGCCCTGATTTCGCTTGGTCGATCTCAGCGCTTCAAATCAAATACTTCCTCGGTGAAGACGAAGCTCTGCTGAATTTTTCATCAACCGGATCCAGATCAAAGGCGGTCCACGGATAAACCCCGGCACAGGCAAAGATCCCACGCAAGCAGAAGACCGATAAACGATCTCTGCGTTTGTTTGACGAGAATTGTATTTTTCATTTTCATTGTGTAAAAGTCTTATAAAAAGACTATCTTTTTGTTTTCAATGTAACAACCGAAGTTGTAATGAATACCGCAATGAATACAACAATTTTCGACGCAAACACAATTCACCTAACCAATCACAATCCTCCAATCCATACATGTCAACAATTTCATTCCACTGTTTTTCAAACTCTTGTGGACTTTGTGTGTCTTACACCACTCTTTTCATGGTAGAACTGATGGCTTCATATTCAATGTACCTTCCTAAGTTTTCTGACAGCTTCTTCATTATATGCCACAAACACCATCTGTGCCTAGTGCTTGAAAAAACAATCTCAATTGCATTTTTCATGGCTCTTGCTTGATCAATTATTTTCTGTTGTGGAGCACATCCATCCATGCATTCAACCACTTCCTAAATAGCCATATGAAAGTCTCTGTGTATTCTTTTGAAATCAACCCATATCCAAGCAAAATTGATTGCCCATGATAGTTAACGCCAACAAGTGGTGCAAATGGCATATCATACTTATTTGTTAAGTAGGTGGTATCAAAAGTGACAGCCTCACCAAACTCTTTGTAAGCTTCTCTGCTCCTACCATCTGCCCAAAATACATTTTTCAAATGATCATCATCATCTAATTCAATATCAAAATAGAAACCTGGATTTTCTACAACCATCCTTGAAAAATATTTTATAATCGCTGAAGCATCATCTTTGCCGAGACGTAAACGCCTTGATTCATCAACCAAGTTCCTGCAAGCCTTTTCATCACACAACAGATTCTCATATCCACCAGCCTCATGTACTAGTGAGCCAAAATTTTTGTTTATTTTGATTCTGGCTTGATCATTCAGATTAATTTGATGTCTAACATGTGTACTAATTCTTCGATTGCAATGAAAGAAACGACTTTTACTAGGGCTAAGGCCATGATTATGCTCCATAACAACCACAATATTTTCCATCTTTCGTCGAGATTTAACTTAGCTGGTATCTTTTCATTATACCCAATTCCGTAGTTTGCTTGTGGTTTTTAAGGGATTTTGACAAGTATTATTATGTTTGCCAACTCGACCACATGCTAAAGTTATACTTCTAACAATCCCCATTTCATTCTTCCCTCTTGATAGTTACTTAATTGGAAATCCACTGCTCTTTGCATAGTTTTTGTAGAACTCAAACAATTCATCAATCTCATTAAACTTTATCCCAATTTTAGGCTCATTATGTTCAATCTGCTGATTAGTGTGCTGAGGCAACTCGTATCTCTCATCAACCGAGCAATTATTCAAGTCATTATCATCTAAATCACCAAACTCCTCAATATCTTCCATAGTTGTTCAAATTAAGTGATCATCAATAAACTTTATAGAAAAATAGTTGACAAAAACTAAACAAATAAACTGAGCAGACAATTGACTGAAACTAAACAAAGAAACTGAACAAATAGTTGACTGAAACTGAACAAGCGATCAAATTTATTTTAATGAACTGAAGCTATATTTTAAACTAATGAAGTTAAATTTTCTGCTATATATGCATCCTTATTCTTTTGGATAATTTAATAGTCTTTAATTGATGTAAGTTTTCACCGGCGTAATACTTAAAGTTCATATTACTGTAAATTTTCTTTTGGATATAATAGTCTTTAACTGATGTAAGCTAAAAAATATTGTAAGTTTATATTACATCCCAGTAAATTTTGCTATACATACATCAGCCCGAATATGAGAATTCTCATCTAATTGAATCAAAATTTTGCAAAAAAAATTCTAATTAATATGAGAATTCTCATCTAAATGAATCGAAAATTTGTAAAAATCTAAAGTATCAACATGCAATCCCTAGAAATTAGATGAGAATTCTTCAAAAAAAATCTCAACTTTAAAAACCCTAATTAATAATTTATTCATAAAATTGAATCAGAAATTTATAAAAATCTAAAGCATCAACATGCATTTCGTAGAAATTAGATGAGAAATCTACAGAAAAAACCTAACTTGAAAGATTAAAAAAGTTTGAGAAATTTGCCAAACCCTAGATCTGTTAGGGAGGGGACTACGACGAACTCGAGCGAGGGGCTGACTCCGGCAACGGGCGGAGACTACGGCGGTCCTTCTCACTTGAGCTCGTGCGCGCTTCCGGCGGTGGTCGCCCGAGTCACCGGGGAGATGGGAAATTAATTTGAAGTGAGGAGAGAGAATAGGGCGGAGGAATGAGTCACAGGTGTAGATGGGAAATTAATTTGAAGTGAGGAGATAGAATAGGGCGGAGGAATGGATCACAGGTGTTTTTTCACAGAATTGAGATCAAAATTAATTTGCTGATGTGGCTGGATCCACGTAGGACGCGCGATGCCATTGCGCGATACCCTGCGTGCCAAATAGCATTGTTGATAGCATATATACTAATATACCCATTATGGCAGATCCACATACAACAAAGTTGGGGCAAATTAAATACGCTCACTGAAATTATCTTGTTCTTAAGACCTAACCCTAATGTTGCTTTAATACTGTCGCCGGTGTTAATCAATTTTAACGTTAAAAGGTACGTATTAGGCAGAGGAATATTCTGGTTTGAGGAAAATTAGTCCCTAAAATCATTGAAAATATTATTAGATCCCCCAATTCTTAAGTTATCTTGAAATCCATCCCTTCAATCAAGGATGGAATGAGAAATCATAAGGTTTAATTTGTAACAGCTTATGAGAGCTGGGGAACCTAATAGAAATTTTAGTCCTTTGAAAAAGGGCTAATTTGCTTCTAATTGATGATTGTTTTCTGGTTTTGAAGTGACTAATTAAAAAATGACTTAAATGTTGTGGGTCTAAATAGCAATATGAGGGTTATAAATCAGAACAAACCTAAGAACTGGGGGGATTTAATAGCAATTTTGATGATTTGCGGCACTAATAAATTGGAGTATGAAAGATTTAAGCAATTTAAGAATCACGTCTTTGATGAGAATTCGGCAAAAGATCGATTAAGGGTTTTTTTTTACAATCCGAGAAAAGAGAAAAATCTCGAAAAATGGCGGGCAAGAGCAGGCAAGAGCTAGGGTTAGAAGGCCAGAGGCACTTAGAAGAGACAATCGACGCCGCCTTCCACATTCTCTCCTCGATGAACGACGAGCTCTGCCAACCCCGCTCTCTGGTCCACGTCATCATCCTCCGCCGCCGCCGCCGCCGCCGCCGGATCCGCCGGAGACGCCTCTTCCGATTCCTCCAACCACCCCTCCGACTCCGCTTCCGCCGCCGCTTCCGTTGCCGGAGGCGCGGCGGCGGCGCGGCGCGGAGCTCTCGATGATGCTAGATTGAGATACAGGTCCGCGGTTGCTGCCCTGCGAGCTGTTCTCGCTGCCGTGCCCAATTCGACTCAGGTATAAAACCCTAACGAACCTTATTGGAATCCCTTGTCTTGTCCCATTTCCCTCGTCTTCATTTTCTCTGTTTGATTTGTTAGTTCGTTTTCTACTTTGATTAATGTCAGAATATAAAATTATAACCCTCAACCCTGACCGTAACTTAGTGGGGGTTCTTTGACGTGGGTGGTATCAGAGCAATCCAGGTTCAAATCTCGGTGACCGTAAATTTAATATGGATTTAAGAAAATAGATACCGCTACGTGAGTCCGGTTTTCAGCCCATAAAATTGGACGCTCGATCTCTGGGTGCAACATTCACACAGTAAACATGGATTTGATGTTTGCTAAACAAAAATAGTGACCATATTGGAAGGTATTATTTGACCTTAGCTTTTTAGTTCAAGTATATCACAATGGCTGTTCCATGCTTTCACTGAAGCAGCCAATTTGGCTTAACTGATTATTGTGAATGAATTATCGTGGTTTTCTGCATTTTATATTTCCAGGAGTATCTGTGACGTAGACCGTAGGTTGTAGATTGGTATTATGAGTTTATGTTAGTTATGGTGTGCACTACATAACACTATGTTTTGACTGCAGCAGTTGCCATTATTTCTTGAGAACTTTGCTAAGGTATAACATTGCACGCTTGATATCTTAGGGGACTAAAGAACATAGTTGGAGGTAAATTATCCAAAGCATGTAGGGCTGTTTTCAGCAATTCTAATAATACTCCAATTGCAGGAGATGGCCATGGAGGTTGAAGTAGATCAAGCCGTAAGAAAGGTATCATTTAGACTTTTGTATCTTATTGTATCTTCTAAAAGTTAAAGTTATTGTTATGGATATAATCAGTTTTTCATATGTATTACACTTTTCATTGACTGTAGTTTTTTATTTTAGTGACAACAAAGCTTTTTTTGAGGAATTCCCTTTTTTCCTTTCTGCGTTGATTTTATTTTGAGTATGATGCACCCATCATGCTTCAGACATTCAACATGCATCTTATGGCTCTTGATGTAGTCTGTGCTCACTTCCTTTCCAACATTTTCTACCGAATATAATTTTTACTTATATGGGACCGCAAACGGAAAATTGAAGTTCAATTAGTAGTTTATCAATGGCCTAAAGTCTTACATCCTTGTTTTTGCGTTTTGAGGCAAGTCATCAAAAGCTTAGTCACTTTAATTAAAAAACTTGAGATTTAGTTGCTTGTTTTTTTGTGAAGACAATCATTGGCTTTTAGAATGTACTCCAGAATATCTTTAATGGCTTCAAAATTTGCTGCAAAAAGATATACACTCTAGAAGCCTGTTACGTGGTTTCCATGGGCATGTTTTTTTCTCATTTATTTGCCTTGTCCTTGCTATGATCGAATTGGTGCATTTAACTTGATGACTAGATTGCTATTTTTCCTAGAATGTCTAGCTAATGCTGAGAGAAAAAGTACATATATGGGAATCAAATGGTTGATTCTCAATTGATTTAAATGATCACTTAAAATATCTAAGCTTTTAAGGTGTCACAATTTTTTTTTTTAAAGATGCAGTTCTCTTATGATAGGTCTTTCTAGCGAGAACTACACCAGAGATGGAGTTGACCGGCCCTAATAATCTCTTCATGAGGAATATGATAGCCAATTAACTTTACTTATTTCGGGGACTTTTTTAGACTGTCTCAGCCTTAACTTCTCAATCATGTATTACTTCTTTATCCCAGTTATAGGTGTATGTCTCATTTCCAAAGTGGTTAATTATTTGCTAGATCCTGTCGATGTGACAATGTAAAGGTTGGAAATATCATTATCGATCATGAGAGTAATTTCAGAGAAAACGGCTCAGTGAAAACGGGAAAACTGGTTAACTTGGGCAGAGCTTGGAAGGACAAGCTTGTTCTCCTTCTTAGACTGAATTTTTGCAAGTGATTTGAGCTTGTTCTTCTTTCTTTGCCTTTATATACGACACACTGCGTCTAAAAATACTTTAATCGCTTATGGATGATATGATATTTAAGTTCTTTCTTGGTTGACTGCTCCTTCCTGTTCTTAGCTCTTCTCTTCTTTCTTCTTTAAATCATCGTTTTCCACCATAGTTTACTTCTTGTTCTTCACCATTATTAAACCTCTCTGCGACAAAATTTCTTGTTCATCCATCTAGAATGAATCTAGACGTTTGATTGATATAAGACCATTATACTCTCTATTTTGTTTTTTTTTTAAATTCAAATAAGAGAAAAACTTTTTTCTGACAATGTTATGTCTTCTTAATGCAGGAAATAGCAAACAAAAATAATCACCTCAAGCTTCTAATTGATCAACTCCGAGATCTAATTGCTGACTTAGCAATGTGGCAGAGCCCTTGTTCAGTATGAAAACTTTGAGGTGCATGGTTCATTATGTAACTGAGTTAAGGCTTCACACCGAAATCGAGCTTTCTGATTGAAGCTTAAATATCCTATGTAGAGATTTGAAAGTGGAAGAAGAGGAGGAAAAAATGTTATAATGTCTCCCATGTCCATTGAATACTTCGAAGGAAGATCGTAGTTACCTAGGCTTTCCTTAGCTTTTCCAAGAAATATTATTACAATGATCGATGATTGGTCTTGCTAGTCTACTTTGTACAATATTTCCAAAAAGGGTGGAAAGAATTCTTAACCAAATAATTTTAAACTCAGAATTACAAAATTGCTTTGTGTTTTTTCTTGATTGGAGTTTTTCTCAATCTTTGTGTGTGGATTCTGTGGATTGATAGCTTGAACTAGTTTACTCAAAAGTTGATACAAAATAAATAGTGTGCGTGTATATAAATAATCAAATTTAATGAATATTTGTTTTTATTAAATTGTATAAGTAATAGCTTAGATAAATCATATAGAGATCAAGGAAAACTTGTGAAAGTGTGGCTACTTTTGGAAGATAAAGAAATATATTGCAAGAGGTGAGAGAACTCGTTAGGGTGCAATTTTTACAAAGTTATCATGCGAATTTGAGAGTAAGACTCCTATCAACTTAAATTGATGTCCATCAAACTTTCTAACCACTTATTTATTAATATAAAAAATATTTTCATATCATGCAAGAATCCCTAGGCAATATGAGTGGCTAAAAAGTTTGATAGAGGACTTTTTACTATCCACTTAAGTTGACACAAGTTTTGCTAGCGAATTTGATCCTTTTTATTCTTAACATTTTGTTTTCATCAGAGAGAGACATATTTATCCTTAACGAGGAAGCCATTGAGACAACGTGTTACACCATGAGGCAGAGAACTACAAAATGAAAATGAAGGGACGCTTCAAGGTAATAGAAAAAGCTTCTCCATAAGAAAACAAAACTTGCGTCATAAAAAAATTGTTGCCTTTGCTGGATTAAATCTAAATTATGAGCACATATGTGATATTAGTGTGTAGTGCTATTCTTTAAAATTGACCCGCGTAAAGTAATCAATCAAGTAAATTGGGTCAATGAGTATTGAATGTGTCATAGGCCAATTGTGTAGATACCATATTGTAATTTCTAATTTGATGAGGGGCCAAATTGGAAACTATAATAACTACTTAATGGGTTATGGTCCCTAATCTAATGGCACGTTCTTAATTTTCTCTTCACCCCCATCTAGAGAGGAATTTTAAAGAGGTCATCCAGATTAGAAGATCTCAACCCCTTCGACAATTTTCTACAAATTAATTCATGGATCCAAGTACGTTTCCGCATCTATTATTAATTTCCTCTTTGTATTAATCATGTGTATTAGATTATTTTTCTAGGGTTTATTGTTGTTTGATTCTTTTTGAAAACCCTAGAATTATCTTGTGGTATTTACAACAGCCTTAGGATCATGATTAAGTGAAAAAACAATATTTATCTTATTTATTAAAATTGTGATGGATAATTTAACTAAACTACACTCTCCAACCTACTCATGCACTACTACACACGAAAGTGTTAGGCCCTTTCTTGAATTGTAATCAAAATTGTTAGGCCCTTTCACTTGAATTGTTATTAAAATTGATGAGCTATCAGAGACTTTATAATCTTTGGGTGTAGATGCGTAATAGTTTTGAGAGTATAGTTTGGACAGTGTAATCTAGTTATCACAATTCTACGATAATATGTACAAGGATGCCAAGAATGTATACAATTTAAGAAAATAAAACTCATCGAGACTTTTAATATATAGCTAGGGGTGCTAAACCGTATTCGTATCCGAGGAAATATCCGTTAACTGTATTTCGTTAGGATACGTATATGGTTACTCAAATCTATAACTGATAGGATATGGTTACAGATATGATTTTGTAGTGAAATATCCGTATCCGTATCTAAAATATCTGAATGCATGCTGGTCATACTCTTATGATAGTTTTGATTCTTAGATTATGGATTTGTGGTTAATTTTGATGATCAAGATGTCTAATCTTAGCTTTTCAGTTATAACGAACATATTAACAAACTCTTTTGTATCACATAAACTATATTTTTCTCAATACTATCTAGTTTTCTCATATTCGTTTTGTATCTGCATGCATTTCCGTTTATATATCCACATCTATATCCGTAACCGTATCCGATTTTTACGGATATGGATATGAATTTTCCTTACTAACGTATATCTGTATCCATATCTGTATCCAAGATGGGTAAGCGGATATGGATATGGTAAGCATCATATCTGAGCCGTATCCGGACCGAATGCACCCATATATATAGCTGTTAAAATTTTGTTTTAACTTTAAATAAGTCGGATGGAAGGGTTCAAGAGGCGGGGAAGTAAAATTGAGTTAAATTGCATTTGTTTGGTACATAGAAAAAGAGTAATTAGCAATTAAATGTGTTATAGCTTCGCCTACGTTTCATTTATACACTCACACTTAATTTTGACAACACTTATATATCCTAAAGTTTTTAAAATTTTCATTTTAATATTCTTTGTTATGTAAATGGGAGAATATTTCCTCAGATATTTCTATGTGACACTCATAAGCTAATTTCAAAATATTTTAATATAAAAGCTCTAAATCGGCACATAAGTACCAGGTGGGACTATTCTGAAGAAAAAATCACATGCTTGCATAACTGATGGTATTAAAGTATAAATTAAAAAAAAATATCAGGACATATAAGTATAGGGCTGCCATTTGGGCCCAAGGCTCGGTGCCCCGGCCTGCGGCCCAGGCCGCGTCATCGGTGCCCACACCAGACCTAGCCCGCGGCCCGACCAAGTATCATACCGAGCAGGTGCGGCCCCGGGTCGGACCAGCCCGGCAAAAACGGTCATTTTTTGTGACTGTTATGGCTGGACACGGACCTGTCTGGCCGGTCATAAAGGCCATATTTTGGCTTTTGACCAAAATACCCCAAAAATGGTCAAAACGATAAAAAATTATCATTTTTTTTTCTCATCCAAAACTCATCTGCTTCTCTCTAATACTCTCTAATACTCGCTTTTGCTCTTTAATTCTTCAATCAAATAGCTTTCTCCTCTGATTATGAAGAGCAAATCCCAACTCCCGATCTTAATATGAGTCCTAATACTCCTACTACAGGAGCTATAGCTACTCCTCCTACTCATACCGATGTTGATCACGACTCCGGCGGTGACGATTCTGCACCAAGAGCTCCTAAGGCCGAGATCTGATGTGTGGAACTTTTTTGAGAAGATAGATATCACCAGGGATCAACACGGTAGGCTTCTCACCCAAAAGGCTAAGTGTGTGTTATGCGGTCATATTTTCCAAGCTCATCATAAGAGCGGCACTAATCACCTCAAACGTCATTTAGAGAAACACAACAAAGGTCAGTCAATGTCTTAAGGTGATATCCGACAATATTTACTCTCCCAATCCTCATCTTTCGGTAGTCTTGGTAGTTGGAACTATGACGCAGTCCGAGCCAAGAAATGCATCATCAGGTTTATTATTCTTAAAAACCTACCTTTTAAATTAGTAGAACATGATGAATATGGAGATATGTTTACAGATGGTTTTTATCCCGCATTTAAAAAAATTTCTCGTCAAACTTGTCAACGTGATATTTTAAAATATTATAAGGAGGAACAAGCAAAAATAATTTCTTATTTTTAAATTTCAAACTGTAAATTTTTTTTAACTTCTGATATTTGGACATCTAGAACATAAAATCACAGCACACTGGATTGATGATAATTGACAAATGTTTAAAAGAGTTATTTTTTTATTGCATTTAAAGATTCACATAGTGGTATTAATATTGCAAATTTAATAATTGAGGAACTTATAAAATTAGAAATTTTATAAAAAATATGTTTTCTTTCACTAGATAATGCAAGTAATAAAAATATAGCTATTGATCATATCGAAACATCTTTGCTATTGTCATGTCATGGTGATATTTTTTCATATTAGATGTGTGTGTGTCATATTTTAAATTTAATTGTTCAAAGTGCATTTAGTGAAATTAAATTCATGATAGAAAAGGTTAGGATAGTAGCTTATGCTCATCATGCTTCTGAACAAAGAATTAAAAGATGGAAAAAATTGTGTAAAAAAAAATTTAAACCCAGACTAATTCCAAAAGATGTTGACCATAGGTGGAATTCTACCTATGCAATGTTAAATGTAGCTATAGAGTATAAAAAATTATAAATAATTTTATTGCTTTCTATACTTCTAGTTCTAGCTCTGGTAGTATGTATGTAATTACTAAGGATGAATGGACAGTTATATATAGTGTAAAAGAATAGTGTAAAAGAGATGTTATAAGTTTTTTATGATGCTACTATGTTATTATCTGGTTGTTATCATCCAGCTATTATTCAAGCTGCTTTACAAATTTTAAATATTCAAAAAAATTAATAATTATTGTATGGATAATTATTATGAAAATATGATTTCTCAAATGAAAAGTAAATTTAATAAGTATTTTAGGTCTATTCCTATTATTTTTTATTTGGGGGTTCTTATTGATCAATGTTTGAAGGATATTAGCCTTCGAAATTTGTAAATTGTTCGTATGGTAATATGATAATAGACACTGATGATGGTCAAATTATTACTGCTCTTACTCATCATAATGCTATTAGAAATTATTTTCAAAAATTATATGATGAGTATGCAGGTAGATATTGTATAAGTACACATCAGTCTACAGTTTCTGCTACGAGTTCAAGTCGAGGCAAAGTATTGAGTTTTGATAGGGAATCAATGGTAGTTGAGCTAGCTGGTTGATGTGGACTTGGATCATCAACGGAAGTTTCTGAAATTAATTAATATTTAACTGCATATTTAGTTAAATGTCAAAATAGTAGTTTCAATTTTTTTTGCAATGGTGGAAAGTATAGGGAACAGTTTCATATCCTATACTTTCCATCATGGCTCGTGACTTACTAACAGTGCTGGTTTTCAAGGTAGTTTTGGAATCCGCCTTCAGCATAACAGGACGTTTGATCGACGACCACATGATATCGTTAGATTCGTATATCGTACAGGCGGTAATGTGCCTACAAGATTAGTGGAGGTACGAGAAATAACGCAAGGCATCGATCGGATGGCTGGTATTGAAGATAAATTTAAAGAATTGGGACTAGCAGATAGATATAAAGAGTAGAGATTATTCATCAGTTTGTAATTTTTATTTCTTAATTGAAAATTTATGATAAATTATTTTGAAAAAAGTTATAAATGATAGTGATATAGATGAGTATGTGC